TCTTATTGATAATGTAGCCTTTCTAATGCCTTTCAATATCATATAGATGTAATATATATGTTTGTATATACATTCATGCATATTTTGGACAAGAACTATGATTTCATTGTTACAGGGAACTTTTACTGAAATGCTCTCTACCACTAAGACTGGGACATTGGGACATTAAGGAACTTACTGAGGGACAAATCGTACATGTAAGAGCTAAAACTTGAACCGATGTCTTCCTGACTCTAAGGTTGACTCTATCCATTATGCAACACTGCCTTTCTTACCACGTAAATATAATCTATCTCAATTATGCGTGTTGTCCACAAGTTCCTAGACTCAGTACTTCATGCATATGATGGGATTCAGCTTCATCTCTTGCATTCCTTTGATGGAAACATAAATAGGAAACAAGTGAACTCTCCGAGGTGATGTGGGAAGTTGGAAGAGGAAGTGGGATGGGTGTTCTGGAGTCTTGCGAGGCTGTTATGGAAGAATATATTTTTCTTGGGGCCACGTGAAAAGTGAGTGATTTTTTGTTGTTTGTAGCAGCTTCCCCTCTTTGGAGGGGACATGGTTGCTACGGCTGTTTTTTAGTTGGACAATGAACTTGAACCTCATTCCTCTAGGCCCTCCACTGTTGTGTTTTTGGAGGCGCTGATCAAGTACTACCCCAGACAGCTCGCTCTAAGAAAGGAGCTCTTATCCTCTTTGATGCTATGGACCACTTGGGCCCCTTTTCAGAATAATGTTTTTAAATGCATAAAATAAAATACGTAGGATGACAGGGAAAGTCAGTTACATTGAAATATAGTTATCAGTATATTAAGAAACCAGGTTAAGAACACCTGCTCTAGTGAGAAGAATCTTGGCCTGGAAATTAGGAGACCTGAATTTTAGTCTTATCGTTAACTAACCATAGCATTGATCAAGGCATTTCACTTCACTGCCTCAGTTTCCCCACTGGTAAAATGGAGATAATGCAGCTTATTTTACCTCTCCTGTAAGATCACTGCCAAACGAAATCAGAAAATAACGGGTATAAAAGTTCTGAAGAATAGGTACCTGCGCTTTTATGACCTAAATCCCCTGCAAGGTTTGTGAACTTTGTCATTGTAAAAGCAAAAGCTGGTTTTGGGTCAACTGTCTCCTTGAGTTTGAGTTTGACCTGCTCTGAAGCTTTTGAACTATTCCTGGGCCTGTGGCATGTGTTTAACTGGGTCTGGATTCCAGCTGCGGCTTAAATGAACTAGATTTAGGAAGGGCCTACGGATCCACTTAGTTTGGCTAGATCAGCAGTTCTTAACTTGAAGTCTACAGATCCCTGGGGCCAATTCCAGGGGGCCCATGAACCTGAATGGGAAAAAAAATTACATCTTTGTTTTCACTAACCTTTGGTTCCCTTTGTACTTCTGTACATTTTATTTTATGCATTTAAAAACATTGTTTTGGGCAGGGGCCTGCCCAAGGAGCCCAAGACACAAAAAAGGCTAAGACTCAGATCTAGATCATTGCACTGTATAGAATCTTGTCCAGAAGTCTTCACATCCCTTGGGAATGTGACTTATCCCCAGCCTCACTTATCCCAGACTGGAACATTTGGGGAATAGGCTTTAGGGATCATTTGAATGCAATACCCCTGCTCATTAGCCGCTTGGCTTCTGGTATACTCAGTAGGGTCTTTTATTGATGCTGTTTATTTCCTGTATGCTGATAAATGTGAAACAATATGGTGAAACTCTTCCTTATCAGCTCTTTTTTCTTCTTTAAAACTGACAGAAGGTATTTGCAAGGAAAATGGTTAATTAGTAATAGAGAACCGAGGGCCAGTTTTATCATTGTCTGTGTCAAGCCTATCTACTGGCATCTGACTAGGTCTTAGGGTACTGACAGTGCCAATTTTTATCCATTATTTTTCGTGTTACAGCTTACTCTTTTTCACATTAGGGTCAGACAGAGGTTGGTGTTAGTCCTGTTTATGAAGATAAATAGCAGTGAATTCTGATAAGTCTGGGATGGTCACAGTTTCACTATTGGAATATATTAATAATACCCACTTGTGGACTTTGGAACCCTGGAGGAATCTGAGAGTGGAGATTGAGGGAGGGGAAGATCTGTAATTTAATCAGTGTGGAGAGTTTGCAGTGTGGAAACTCCCTCACTAACACATAACATGGATCACCCAGTTTGGAAGCCTCTCCCACCAAAGCAGATCATGCTAATGTTCAACTCAGTAGTGCCATAAAGCCTTAGCCTTCTGGAGGCACTGACCAGCTAAGTGATTTACCCGTGGTCAAACATTGAATCTGTGTCATCAGTAGGACTTTAACCTCAGGTCTTTTTGCCAAGACTAGTTCCCTTTCCTCTATGCCATGCTGCCTCTCCTTAGGCCTTCCCTTCATTTAAACTGTTTGGGGTTAGAGGAACAGTAGATATGTCTTCCCATTTGGGCAAATTCTTAATTTTTCTTTGCTGTTTTTCTTCCCAATGGAAAATTTCAGGGGATGGCACCAAAAGGCAAGCTTACTATTTAATGTCAGTGCCTAGCACATTTTTAACTCCAAGACATCCAGATTCTATGCAGGTGTCATTTTCTACCTGATCCCAAGTTCAACCCTTCAGGAAATAGCATTAATTTTCTCTCCATGAAAGGGCTTTTTAGCAAGTTACTGCTTTAATGTGCAAATAGCTACCTGAAAACCTTAAAGACTTGATGTAGCATTGAAAAGGACTTCATTTCCTTCCCAGAAAACTTTACTTACAGAAGACTGTGGCTCAACAAATATTACCTTGGCTTCATAAATGGCTCCCCTGCAGACTTCTTCAGACAATAAACTGGCCAGTATCTCCTTTGGTTACTTTTTTCTAATTCCTGGAGGAAAACTTCTTATAATATTGCCTTACTTCATCTTCAAGGTCTATTTATGGAGTTACACAGCTCATCCAGGGATAAAGATTATATTTGTTTTTTATTTTTTAAAGAATAGTTCAGAGTGCTGTATATTTGCCTGAGGTAGCCAATCCCCAGTGTAATGATGGCAGCACCTTTAGCTTTATTAATGCCTTGTATTAGATTGTGCATGGGTCTATTCCTAATCTTAAGGCTCCTCTTCCCCAAAGATTCCTTTACTTAAATTCAGTTTAACAAACTTTTATTAAGTACAAGGTACTATGCTAGGTGCTAAGTGGTGCAGTGGATATAATGCTGGACCTTGAGGCAGGAAGACCTGAGTTCAAATGTGACCCCAGGTACTTAGTAGCTATGTGATCCTGGGCAAGTCATTCAACCCTTGCTTGCCATAATTTCATCATCTGTAAAAAGAAGATAATAACAGCACCTGCTTCCCAGTGTTATGAGGATCAAATGAGATAATATTTGTAAAGTGCTTAGCACAGTGCCTGGCACATAGTATGATATATATATATATACATACATACATATATATATATATATATATATATATATATATATATATATACACACACACACACATACATATACATATATACACAAATATGTAAATATATGTAATGTTAGCTATTACTAGTTATTATGCTAGATGCCAGGGATATGAAAATAAAAACAAAACTATCCCTGCTCTCAAGGGGCTTATCTTTTCCTGTTAGGATTATATGTGATATAATATGCACACATATGAGTACATACTGTGCATTTTGAGGAAAGAGAGAAGATTAACTACTGAGGACATCAGGGAAACCTTCTTGAAGGTGGTGGCACCTGAACTGATCCTTGGAGAGAAGGTGACTTGAGGAGCATGTGGATCCCAGGCATGTAAGATGATCTGTGCAAATATGTGAAGGAGATGACTGGTGAGTGGAGGGAGTAGTTTAGTTTAGTGTATGAAGCCATGGAAGTAATAGGAGAGAAATCTGAAAAAGGAAGATGACTCCAGATGGCAGAAGCCTTTAAATACTGTGCCAAGAAACTTATATTTTACCCTAGAGATAGTAAGGAGCCACACAAGACTTTTGAGCATGGGAGTGACATGGTTAGATCTGTCTCAGCAAGATTTTGGCAGTTGTATGAAGGCTATATTGGTGGAGGTGAAACTAGAGGCAAAGAGAGCAGTTAGAAGGCTATCACCATAGCCCAGAAGAGAGGTGGCAAGGGCCTGAATTAGAGTGTTGGCCACATGAGGGGAGATAAGACTGGTTCAATAGCAGTAGTGTGTCAAACTTAGATATCTAAGGAATTTACATGCTATAATGGAAAGGACACTGGGTCTAGAGTCAGAAGGCCTGGGTTCCAGTTTCACTTCTGACACTACCTATGTAACCATGGGTAACTTACTTAACTTTACTGGTCCTCCTTTTCCTCATCTGTAAATTGAGGGGACTGGCTGCTTAAAGCTCCTTCTTATTCTAAGTCTATGATCCCATGAACGCCAAACTATTCTTTATGTATCCCTCACAGTGTAATGATACATGCAAATTGAGTATCAGGGACAGCACTTCCATTCCATACCTAGTAGGGTAAATATTCAATTAATAATAATTATTAATATAATATTATAATTATAGTATATTGTCAATTTATTATAATAAATAAAATAATAATAATTCAAGTAATAATATTCTTGAGATGAGCAGCCTATCATAGTCTTCTAGTACTACAGCTGTTTGGGAATTAGATGCATTTTTTTTCAGGAAGGATAGGGAAGCTAGGTGGCAAAATGTATAGAGTGCCATGCCAGGAGTCAAGCAAGACTGACTCATTTTTCTGAGTTGAAATCTGGCCTCAGACACTTACTAGCTGTGTGACCCTGGGTAAGTCACCTAACCCTGTTTGCCTGTTTCCTCATTTATAAAATGAGCTGGAGAAGGAAACGGCAAACCTCTCCAATATCTTTGTCAAGAAAACCTCAAATGGGGTACAAAGAATTGGATATGACTGAAAAATGATGGAAAATAAGGAAGGAGAATGTTAACATGGACCTTGTGGTTTCATTAACTTAAAAAAAGTCCCCCTTGGCTGAAGGATCAGAACTTACCAGTGATGGTGGTGAAATGGGATGGAGATGTCATGGTGACAAATGGTGGAGTGAGATACTTGGCCTTCACTCCTTCTCTTACAAGGAGATCCATGTTAGGTGTGTCAACATCCTGATCATAGTCCCAGCGAAACCCATCAAAGGAAATCACAAGCAACTTATTAAAGCTTCTCTTTTTCCTGGGGAGAGGATGGCAGGCAATATGGCTCAGTAGGATAAGCAGAAGAGCAAGACATCTGTGTACCTCCATGTCTTGAGAGCTTAGACACAGTGACAGTGTTGGACCTAGTGCTTCCATCTCCCTCCTTTTTTATCTGAGGTTGAGCAAAGTCCAAGATGATAATGCCATATTAGCTTTGTCCTAGAATTAAAAACACCCAGAGAATAGCAAAACATTTAAAAATGTTCTCATAGGAAAAGAATAAATGATTCCATGATTATACCATAGATCAAAGGCAAATCCCATAAAACTTTGCTAATTTATATCCCACTAGTTCAATTCAATAAATATTAAGTGCCTATTCTGGGTAAGGTACTGTGCTAGGAACTGGTGATACAAGAATAAAAAATGAAATGATCTCTGACTCCAGTGAACTTATATTTTCTTGAGGACACAACATATACATGGATAAATAAATGTAAAGATGTATCCTGGGTACCAACTTGATAACAAGTTCTGCTAAGAGGAAATGATCTCAGATACTGCCTAGCCCATGGGCTTCCTCATTGGCAGAAAGTAGTGCCAGGTGGCATCTGGAGTTATTTCTCTTTGGCAGAGCTACAAAGAAATTTGAATAGGGTGAAGGCCCTAACAACTAGGAGAATCAGAAAAGACTCCCAGAGGTGATGTTGTCAGTGTTCTTAGCACCGCAGGAATCCAGGGATGCTAAAAGGCAGAGGTGAGGCTGGGGGGTATCCTAGGCAGGAGCGATAGCTGGGAAAAGAATGAGAGATGTTCGGATGACTTCTCAGTTCAATCATTAATTCAGAATTCATGGCTCTGGACTGAAGTGGATTTATTTTTTGTACGAATCTGTGATTTCATTGGTATAGAGAAAATCTTGTGAAGAAACCCTCTTTACATCTACTGGCATATTGACATCTATTGTGCAATTTATCTTAAAGGACTGCTTGGAGAACTGAGCTCAGAAAACTGTTGATAAGGGTAAGGATCAGAAGTTTTGATCCTTGCCATCTTTTTCACAAGTGTCTTTCTTTTTTTGGTTTCTTACATGTCATTTTTCATCAATGACTATATCCCATGAAAATAATTTACTTATGGTTCTAATAATAATAGCTAACGTTCATATAGTGCTTTAAGGTTTACAAGGTTGTCTTATTTTATCCTTACAACAACCCTGTGAGGCAACTGCTATTATTATCCCCATTTTGCAGATGAGAAAACTGAGGCTTAGAAAGGTTAAGTGCCTTATCCAGGGTCACATAGCTAAGTAAATAGTTGGGGTAGGATTTGAATTCAGGTCTTCCTGACTCCAAGTCCAGAATTCTATCCTCTGCATCACATTGATTGTAAGAAGAAATACCTAACCACCTAAATTCCTTCTCCTCCTGCCTCATCTGGTCTCTCTTTTAAATCACTAATATAGAAGACCAGCAATGGTGTCTTTCTGGAGAACATAAAGAGGATGTGCTCGGCCTTTGTAATGTTATTTGAACATAATATAGTGACCTGTCCCTGTCTCTTTAGAAAGTGCTGAAAACCAGCTAAGCTGAAGGGAAGAAAGAGAAACGTGTCTGAATATGTTGCTCCACAGAAATGTTCTTCAGTTGTTTCATGTGTGTGCACCCTGTCTTTCCTACTAGGCAGTAGGCAACTAGAAAAAAGACCGTATCTTCTGTTTTCCTTGTGTAACAGGACTCTCCACCTGAATGACCAATGGTCAGTGGAAAATCTCCATGGTTCCCTTATTTGATATCTTGGGGAGCTGTGTGACTTAGTGGAGCCAGTTTTGGACTGATAATCTAGCCCCTCTTACCCTGAAGGGAAGATGAGGGCAGAAGACTTGGGAGAAGCCTAGTGATTGAGAGTAAGTTTGTGAGAGTGAGAGTACCAGCAGTGAGGTAAGCCTAAGAGAAGCTGCAAAGAAGAAGGCATTCTAGAGATGGTGGCTTGACAAGCAGGGAAACAGAATACTGGAAGAGTAAGTTGAGGGATCAGGGCTGTGCAATGAGGAGGTTGCCAGCTTAGAGCTCCAGGGCCATGAGGTCTGTCTGGGAGGATCCTCTTTTTCTGAACTCACAGACACAGACTCAAGGCTGGTGATTTCTTACTCTACATAACTCTTCCCCTTCTGCTTCTTTCTTGGGAAAACATATGTCAGTTTCCAAAACTTACTTCTTTTCATTAAATTTTGTTTTTGCCTTTCTCTTCATTTTATCTTTAAAGTTGGTTTTTAAGAGAAATGTGGTTAACCATTGCATTACTGATCTGAATGTTTCATTAGTCAAATGTAGCAGAGAGAGGCATTGTAGGGAATGGAATGCCTGGGAAGAGATTAGAGAAATAGATGTTATAATGACAATATATATATTGACCAGAGTAGTTTTCTGGGCTAGGGGCTCAGGGCTGTATCCAAGGGAATTATTGATTCAGTTTTTCATCTTCCCAGAAAAAAGAGAGAAATTTAAACCCAGATTTTTCTAGTCAGATAGATTAGCAGCTTTGGTTAGGGGAAGTTACACTGAAATAGGCTAGTATGAGAGGTGAGTCTCAGTTACTTACTCTTCCCATTATTTATTTATTTATTTTTCTTCAAGTTGGCTTAAAAGAAAAACTGAGCCATGCCTTAGGGGAGGAGCTGAGAGAGTGGCTATGGAGAAATGATGGCCTAATGAAAATATATTTGAGAAGGAATGACACCACGCAGAAGGGTGGGAGTAGGTAAGACAGTATGACAACTCTCCTTAGTACCTTTATTACTCGACTTGTAACCACCCACGATACCTATTTCAATTTAATAGCCATTAAGTGCCTACTGTGGAAAAAGGACTGAGGATTTTTTCTTTTGGAACAGATACATGATTTAATTGTTATAGAGGGATTCCCACTGAATGAACTTCTTCCATCAATACAAATGGGCAATTGTAGACAGTTGCTCAGGGGCATTGAGAGGTTACTGTGAAGTGACCAGGGCAGAGTCATGCAGCCAGAGTATGTCAAAGACAAGACTTAAATAGAAGTCTTCCTGACTCTGAGGCTGTCCCTTCATCCACTTTACCATGCTGCCTTTGTGCTGTTGTACTAGGTTCTGGGGATACCAAAGATGAAAATTTCCCTGCTCTCAAGCTGCATTACAGTCTATAAAACTTTGTATATAGAGTGACTGTTCCTGGAGACTTCAGGACTTACTAATAGAGAAAGATACAGTGGCATATTTTCTAGGCCTATCCTGAGATGTGAAGACAATCTTAGAAGGTTACATGCAGCTCATTTTCTTCCTCATTTCTATCCCATATTCTTTTTCCAGGTATGTATGTGTTTGCGTGTATGTGTGCATGCACATGGGAGAGGTAAGCAAAGAGAAGACAAGGAGGAACTTCAAAAGCATTAAATGTTTCCCTTTAAGCTAAGGCTGTAGTAATCAGAATCTTTCTTTTTTATTTTGTTCAGATATGTTGACTCTACTGCTCGGATTCAGAATACTCTTCTTTTTGGGTGAGGCAATCAAGGTTAAGTGACTTGCCCAGGGTCACACAGCTAGTTAAATGTCAAGTGTCTGAGGCTGGATTTGAACTCAGGTCCTCCTGACTCCAGGGCAGTGCTCTATCCACTCTATCCAGATTCAGAATTTTAAGGAACATATTCTGTTGATGTCACTATAGGTGTTTTTCTTGGGGGTGGGGTGGAGTGGGGTGGAGTGGAGAATCTAGACCTGGGATTTCATCAGTCTAGGTAAGTTAGGTGATGAGGAAACTCCTATCAATGCATAGCAGCAACTGTTCTACAACTTATTATCTTCAAGGGGGCAGGAGGGTGGGCATTGGTGGGTAAAGTGAATTGCCCAGTTTCACAGCTAGTATTTGTCAGGGAGGACCTGAACTCAGGTCTTCTTCACTCTGAGACCAGCTCTACTATCTTTTACAGAATTTATTAATAGCGCACAGCCCAGAAAGCTAGGATTTGGCCTTCTAGCCAGAGGAAGATTTCCTGGGTAGCACTAACCTCAGGGTTTGCCAAGATTGAGAGCTCAGAGATCTGAATATGTCTGTTCAGGTAAGGGGAATTTCCTGAATGTCCTTCTTAGATCGAAGAGGATTACTCTTGGGGACTCATTCTGGGAAAGAATATTAGTTAAGGACCAAAGCCTTGATATGGAGGAGCAAGGGACCAGGATTATATACTCTGTTGTTACAATCCTCCTGGCTTTGACCCCTATCTGATCTGACTTGGGATAGTCATGCTTACCCTCTTAGCTATTTACCTGGCCCACTGATTACTTCATGAATAATTAGACTCTCCTTCACACAATCTATATTCCAGTCAAACTGGCCTTACTTTCTATTCCCTATATATAAAACAGTCCATCTCCCATATCTGTGTCTTTGCACAGGTCATCTCCCTTGGCTGGAATGTGCTCCATCTTCACCTCTGCCTTAGAGAATCGCTAGCATCCTCTAGGACTCAGTTCAAGTGCCACCTTTTACATGAGGACTGTTCTGAGCTCTCTAAGTTGCTGTTGACCTCTCCCCACTAATTACTTTGAGTTTGCTTTGTATGTATTTTGTGTTTCTGTGTTTGTATACTTATTTCCTCCTAGAAAATTGTAAGCTCCTTGAGGGCAAAGATTATGTTATTTTTGGTTTTGTATCTCTAGTGCCTTCTAGAGATTGGCATATAATAGTTGCCTAGCAAATAGTAAGCAATTAATAAATGCAGTAATCCAGGTTGAGCATCTCAAGCACCTTTGAATATTCTGATGAGTAGGTCAGATAAAGGTAAACACAGGGGCTACTTTGGAGTCAGGGGCTATACTCATGGACATTACTGTCTCCTTTAAGCTGCCATTATCTACATATTCCCCCTCTTCCTCTAGGAAAAGGACACGTACTAAGTGCTTAATAAAAACTTGTCGACTTGTTAGCTGAATAGAAAGCTTCCCACTGCTCTTTTTGCTAGTCAGAATACAGAGTTTTGTCATATTCAAGATGTCATATTTAAGAGAGACTCTTGCAGACCAGGATTGGTCCAGAGAAGGGCAACCAGAACGGCAAGGAGTCTGGAAATTGTGT